AAGGAACTGTATCAGCTATGGTTGCTGCACCAGGCACAGTGGGAGATGATGCTTGGTACTTAGACTCCGGAGCTAGTCATCATTTAACACAAACTACTGGCAATCTGAACAATTCTACTCCTTATACAGGACCTGAGCGCGTAACTGTTGGCAATGGTAAGACACTTCATATCTCCTCTGTTGGTTCTCAATTTTTAACCTCTAATTCTCATTCTTTTAAGCTTCAGAAAGTCTATCATGTTCCTTTCATCTCTGCCAATTTGATCAGTGTAACAAAATTTTGTTCAGATAACAAAGCCTTCATTGAATTTTATCCTAACTCTTTTTCTGTGAAGGATCAACTTACGAAGAGGGTTCTAGCTCAAGGCAAGCTTGAGAATGGCTTGTATAAATTTCCTGTTTCTAAGTCAGTTCTGAATTCTTCTTCTAACTCTCTCAATAATTCTGTATCTGCTTTTACTTCTATTGTTCATAAAATTGAGATATGGCATTGTCGGCTAGGCCATGCTAATTCTGATGTTGTCAACAAAATTCTCTCAGATTGTAATATTTCCAGTACAAATAATAAAACTGCTGTTTGTTTCTCTTGCCAATTAGCTAAAAGTCATCGCTTACCTTTGAAACCATCATTTTCTCGTGCTTCAAATGTCTTGGACTTAATTCATATTGATATTTGGGGTCCTGCCCCTGTCAAATCCACATCTGGTTCTAGATATTTCATCCTATTTGTCGATGAATTTTCTCGTTTCACATGGTTCTATCCAGTACAAACCAAAGATTCAGCTTTACCTATCTTCAAACAATTCAAAATTTTTGTTGAGAACCAATTTCACAAACAGATTAAATGCATACATTCTGATAATGGGGGTGAATATCGATCTTTCCTTCCTTTTTTGACTCAATCTGGTATATTGTATCGTTTTTCTTGTCCATATACTTCTCCTCAAAATGGCAGGGTCGAACTCAAACATATACATGTGGTTGAAACCGGTTTAGCTCTTTTAGCACATGCTCATATGCCTCTGTAATACTGACAGTATGCTTTTCAGACTGCTGTGTTTCTCATCAACAGGATGCCCACAAGAGTACTCAAGTTTGCTTCTCCCTACTCTGTAATTTTTCATAAGAAACCAGATTATAACTTCTTTCGTGTGTTTGGCTGTCTATGTTATCCTTTCATTAGACCATATAATAATCATAAAATTCAATATCGATCCTTGAAGTGTTTGTTTCTTGGTTATAGCTCTATTCACAAAGGATATTTGTGTCTTGATAATATTTCTGGTCGTGTGCATATATCTCCTCAAGTTGTTTTTGATGAGTATAACTTTCCCTTTGCTTTTCATAATGACACTTCATCTGAAAATAATTCTGATTCTTCTTCTATTCCTGCCATTCTTTCAGTTCCTTCTTCGTCTATTGTTTTGTCCACTCTTGGTCCGCATAATCCGACTCATAATTCTTCTTCCAGGTCAAGTTCTGATTTATTGCCCAATAATGATTCCTCAGCTCTTGTAATAGCAGTTTCAGATCCAGCAGTGTTAAATTCCAGCAGCCCTTCAGTTTCTGATGATGACCCACCTATTCATACTGCTACACCACAACGAGTTGTGACTCGGGCCATGAATGGGATAACAAAGCTGAAGAAACTTTTCTCCTTAGCTGCTGTCAAGTTAACTGAACCAAGTACTTTTCGTCAAGCACAAAAGGATCCTAAGTGGACTGCTGCTATGCAAGCTGAGTATGATGCTTTGCAACGTAATAAGACTTGGATTTTGGTTGCTCTTCCTGCTGAAGCCAGTATTGTAGGCTGTAAGTGGGTATATCGATTGAAATATAGAGCTGATGGAACCATTGAGAGATACAAGGCACGCTTAGTTGCTAAGGGGTACAATCAGACTTATGGCATAGACTACTTTGAACATTTAGGCCAGTAGTCAAACCAGCAACCATCAGAATTGTTCTCACTATTGCTCTGTCTTCTAAATGGATTGTCAGACAACTAGATGTGCAAAATGCCTTCTTAAATGGTGAGTTAGAGGAGGAAGTTTTTATGCAACAACCTCTTGGTTTTGTGAGTGCACATTTCCCTGAGCATGTTTGTCTATTGAAGAAGGCTTTATATGGCCTTAAACAAGCACCAAGGGCTTGGTTCACTAAGCTTAGTTCAGCTCTTCATTCTTGGGGATTCCTTTCTTCAAGAACAGATAGTTCTTTATTCTTTTGCTGTGGTAGAACTACGATTCTCATAGTATTGGTGTATGTTGATGACATACTCATCACTGGCAGGTCGGAAGACCAGATTTCTCATTTGATTACTTGTTTACACAACACCTTTGCCTTGAGGGATTTAGGAACTTTATCTTATTTCCTTGGCATTGAAGCTTCGTATTCTGCTGATTCTTTACATCTCTCTCAAAGTAAGTATATAGCAGACTTGCTTGCAAAAACTGATATGACTGATTGTAAACCAGCTAAAACTCCTGGTGCCCTTGGCAAAACAGCTTCTCAATATGATGCTGAACCTTTTGAGGATGTCACTAAATATAGAAGTGTTGTTGGTGCTCTGCAGTACGTCACAATGACTAGACCAGATCTGTCTTTTGCTGTTAACAAGGCCTGTCAATTTATGCACCAACTAACTACTTCTCATTGGTTAGCTATTAAGAGGATTCTAAGGTATCTTAGGGGAACAATGCAAGAAGGTCTTATTCTTACAGCATCTGATAATTTTCAGATTCAAGCTTACACCGATGCTGATTGGGCAGGGTCTCCAGATGATTGAAGAAGTGCTAGTGCCTTTTGCATATATCTGGGAAATAGCTTGGTTTCCTGGTTTGCTACAAAGCAGAAAGTCGTGTCCCGAAGTTCTGCTGAATCTGAATACAGGGCCCTTGCTATTGCAATTGCTTAAGTGAAATGGATTCAAGCCTTGTTGAAAGAGCTGTGTATGCCACTAGAAGATCTTCCTGTTCTTTGGTGTGATAATACAAGTGCTAATTCTATTGCTACTAACTCTATGTTTCATGCTAGGACAAAGCACATCGAGATTGACTTGCACTTTGTTCAGGACAGAGTTGTTCAAAAACAGCCAACTCTGCAACACATCTCTACTGAAGACCAGATAGCAGATCTCTTGACTAAGCACTTATCAAGTTCAAGGTTCTTGTTTTTACGGTCAAAACTTTGTGTGGTTCCCATGGTTCAAAGTATCGGCCGAGTCCGAGTCAACTCGGCCGAGTCGTATCCGTCTCGGCAGTTGCCGATCCGATAACGATACGCGGTACATTAATATAACGAGATTCAACTGAATCAGTTACAACTCGGTGGTATCGGCTCAACTCGGAACTAAATCGGTTATACTCGGTCGAGTCGAACCGAGTCAGACCGCTATGGTGTATTTGGAAAATCTGGGTAGCAAAACCCAAAAAAAAAAAACAGAGCAAGGAAGAAGAAATTGGGTGAGACTCACAGTGAGCCGACTCCAACTCAGCACAACTTGGCTGATTCGCATATAATAGATCACAAATATTGGGGAAATTCCAAAAAAAAAAAAAAAAGAAAGAGATGAAGTATAAAAAGACCCAGAAAATCGAAGAATCACCGTGATCAGAAAGCCTCTTTTTCTTCTTCTTCTTTCGGTGGAGGCCCATAGCAGAAACCCTAAGGTTACAGATCAAAAAATCTTCAATCGTTCCTTATTGTTCTCTTCTTTCGGTGGAGACCCATAGCAGAAACTTTCCTTCGCTTCTCGCTAGCGCTCTTTGTCTGTCTCTCTCTCTCTCTCTTTCTCTCGTGATCGAGAGGCAAGGAGAAGACAACACAGACCACACACAGTGTTTATATTTTATGGGCCACTCACCTTTCGTTTGCTTTTTGTCCTTAGACATGTGTTTATATTTTATTGACCCTTACCCCTTTATGTATCAAAAATCTCTAATTCAATTAGTAAATTATTGAAAAAAATAATTAGGAGAAAAAATAAAATAAAATTAGAACAATGACTCATTAATTTATTAATTGAACACAAAATTATTCATGTAAAATATTGAGATCTACTCATACTTGTCAAATTTATAATTTATGGATACATATTTGCTGTTTTTATTTTTATTTTTATTTTTTTTAAAATTAGATACTAGTCAGTTAAAAAAATTATAATAACATATGTTTAAAATTTAGTGTGTTTTTAAATAAAAACATTCAACCTAAATGATGACAAATATTTTCAGTAGCGTCCTTATAATTCATTTTTATTATGTTTAATATGTTAAATAATGTATTTTTGGGATATAATGCATGAATGATGATATTTGCATATTTTTAAAATTTTTCATGATTTTTTTATATTTTTTTGGGTCTTCAATGTAGCGTTTTGAGCGTATTGGCCGATACGACGCTGCGACACTGCGACCGATGTGTCTCAGTGCCCTTTGAGTCGATGACCGATACCGCGACTTTGAACCATGGTGGTTCCCTGCCCCTTTCACTTGAGGGGGGATGATAAACAGAAGTCTTTTACAGATGGTTTAAGGATGAATGTAGTTACATAATAGTAGGAGTTTGTTATTTAGTTTGTTATACAACTATGTTACAGCTGGACACAACTGGACTCTTACTGTACAATTGTAATTTCCTTTCTTACATATATATAAACTCTCTTCTCTAATCTCTGATTAACGAGAATAGAGATTTCCTTTACTTACACAGTTTATCTTGCCAGCCGCGACAGTAATTCAACAATTCGACTTAGAGGTACAACTCGAGCAGGTTGAGTCTAACCTGTGATTAAATATTTGAACTTGGTTGAACTCGGATTATATAATGCAGGTTGAAATTCAATTTTTCGTTAATCAAAATCAAATTAAATAAAAAATAAGGATATCAGGTTAACCTCGAACCCTAACTTACCCAAATTGCACCCCTAGGTCTACTCGGTCCGGTTTATTTATTTATGAACTGGGTCTGGTTCATTTGAGCAATTCATTTTCCCAACTGAGTAGGGCATCGACCAAACCAGATTGCGAAGTTGAAACAGAGAAGACAGAGAAATATTATGAACATCATTCCGACAAAAGGATTGTCTCTCTTCAACTCTCTCATACACTCCTCCAAAGGTGCTCTTCCAGCATATTAGTCGTTAGTCTCTCTCTCCATTTTGAACTCCATAACATATTTCAGTGTTTTGCATGAATACAAGTGTATATGTATCTTTTTAGGTGCACCCAAGATTGGGTTTGTGAATTTGTTGCAACCCAGAGGAGGATTTAGAGGAGGTATTGCGAAGAAAATGGCTTGGAGTTTAGAGAAATGCGATGTGAATGGGGAAACCAACTTGGGGCTGGTTCGACCGGCGACAGAGGAATATGCTGAAGAGGCAATTGAAGCTCTGAAAGTTGGGAAAGTCATAGCAGTGCCCACTGATACACTTTACGGATTTGCTTGTGATGCTTGGTATGTCAATTCGATTAGTTTTGCTTCTTCATGAACTTGAATTAGCAGATTCGTTTTTCTCAATGTGGATTTGTTATTGAAAATCTTGATGCTTTTGGCTATGGTGAGTTGCTCTATACATATGGAACTTAAAGTTCATGCCAATACTAGTGTGATTATTTAGAGAAACCCAATATTGGTAGGATGTGAATCATGTGATTATGTTAACTTTCTTCTAATCGACTAAAATATATGTCTATTAGCGTCCAACCTCGTGTCCCCTTCTTCACCCTTTACCCTCTCTCACTCATTATTTTACAAGTTAACAAAAATATTTGTAGAAATTAATGCATTGCAAATTTGATGTTTAAAAAAATAAATAAATAAGTGGTGGTTAGAGGGAGTTAATGGATAGTTATTTGAGTCATTTGGTAGAATATGATTGGAGGATGTGGAATTTAATAATTCAAAATTCTTAAGCAAGCCTCTTCCTAAGAAATTGGTAGTTTTATATATAGTATAGATTTGCGGCCCCAATCTGTGTAAAGCATTTATAACCCATCATATTATGTGCTTCTTTTTTCTTTTTATCTCTTTTACCCACAACTTGGGAAGTTAGAGAATTGTAGGTGGTTATAGCCTTATAGGGTGATAAAAGTTATATTTAATATTAGTTTATAAAAATGGTGGATGGTGGGGCAATTATTTAGACCATTTGGTAGGATGTAATGTAATGGGACATTATCTTGTGTTTTAGTTAAATAAATCAGAATGATGTAAACTAAGAGAAGAGGGAGGCAAAGCTTCTCAAGCCTTCTAACCCAAAAAATGATTCTTTCTATATATGCAGATTACACTCTGGAAAGATTTACTTGGATTATTCGGTTGTGAAATTCTTAGGGAAACCTTGATTCTTGTTCTACATAAAAATCTTAAAATATATTCCACTGATAGTTTGTTTTGGTGTTGGGCCTACTGCAGTTCTATGGAAGCAGTTAATAGGATTTATGAGATCAAAGGGCGTAAGCATACGAGCCCTCTTGCAATTTGTGTGGGGGATGTACATGACATACAACGTTTTGCCATCACGGATCATTTGCCTCGAAGTTTGCTTGATTGTCTCCTTCCAGGACCTGTTACTGTGGTGTTAAGGCGAGGTTTGTAACTGTAACTTTATTTTTGCCAGAGGATAGCAAAAAAAATGGCAAAAGTAATTTTTTTTGTCCTTGGCAACCTAAGATTTACCAATCAAAATATACTGGTAACAGAAAGTTGAAGCCAGATTACAAGCTAAATCACACCAACAACTTATTCTCTTTCTGTATCATGTCTGAAATATATTGTCAGTTGCCTGCTAAGAACTAAGTGAATACATTCTGCATGAGATCCATTCAGAGGCACTTCTGATATTTTTAACTTTTTGCTATGATAACTGATATGTTGCCTTGTTTTTCTAGGTTTCAAATTGAAAACTGGTCAAGCTGGTTTTGTTTCTTGTAGCTTTTTTTAATCTGATAACGTAAATTTGTATACTTTGCAGGGGACTCGAGTATTCTTGAGAAGTCATTAAACCCCGGATTGGATAGCATAGGAGTTCGAGTGCCTGACTGTAACTTTATCAGGGTTATTGCCCGTGGTTCTGGAAGCGCAATGGCCCTTACGAGCGCAAACCTTAGTGGCAGGCCTAGTAGTGTAGACATCAAAGATTTTGAGAATCTTTGGGAGCATTGTGCATACATCTATGATGGGGGTGTACTTCCATCGGGACGTGCTGGATCAACAGTTGTGGACCTTACCAAGCTAGGAAAGTACAAAATTCTGAGACCAGGGAGGTAAGTGTATGATATGCCTATTGGAAGCATTCTGTTTATAATGCTTTCACAGTAGCATAGTCATGGAAAAGCAATGATAAGAAGGTGATGATAAGCATTTTACTATTAGAATACATCGACACACCATGTCATGCACTCATTTACAGGATATAGAAAACACCATAACATTGATGTGCTTAACATGCAGAAACCCAAAGCATATCTTAAAACTTCCATCTGGAATTGATACCAAGTAATTTTTGTACAAACCAGAAAAGTGGAAAACTTTAGAAACTTCCACCAGAATTTGACAATAACGAGTATAACGGCATATGTTTGACAACCAAAATCCTGTAGTATTAGGTGGTGCTGATTTCTATGCAGGAGGGACGCCCCTTGTTTGACTTTAACTGAGGTGCTTAACTTGTTGAAGCCAATTCAAATTGGGTCTAGGCTTAAAGAAAGCATGATTCTTTCCTTTAATACTTCTATTCGTATGTGAATCATTGTCACAAGACTAAAAAAAGATCACTGCCCATATCCAATTGATATTTCTTATTTTGAAATCACGTGTAATTGTTGGCTTGGGTAATAACAATTTTGATGGGTTTGTTGTATCGGCAGTGCAGAAGAAGAGACTGTTGCAATCCTTGAGAGACATTCGCTACTGGAAGATGGAACTGCTACTTAACGAGAGTTTCAATTTCATACATGACCTTCAATATGTTAAGAATTTATTGGTCAGTTGACGAAGGGGCAGGCTATGCTTGAGTGTATACGGGCACAGCGCCACCATACAGAACTGTTGAAGATTAATTTGAGATTATCCCCCATGCATGTTCTTGGGAGGCTTCACAAGGTCCTCAACATTTGTGTCATAAACTGTTGTCATTCTACAAAATTTGTGCACCCAAAGTTCTAATGGCATTTGTGCTTGCTGTAATTATGATATTTATCACCTATTAATAGCTCTGTTAAATAATGTATCGTGGCCCTGTTTTCAGTTGATTCTTTGTTTTTTTGTGAATCTATATTCCTACATGACTACCTTGCTTAACCTTCTTTCAACATAGAATGTTCAACCCATTGTATAAGAGTTTGTTGAAGTTTAATGTTTAAGTTAAGACTCTTTTTAATAGCCTAAATTTTTAGAGTAGATTATTGCTTAATATGATATCAAAACAGGGGTCCTGTATTTGAATCTCGTCGTTATCCTAATCATTAAAAAAAAAATTACATATTAGGTCAAAAATTTAGCTTGCACGTGAGAGGGTGTAACTTTAACACATCCTCTCTAATAGTAAACTTTTGGAATAGGCATTTACTTAACAGAGTTATCATATTATCATCATTTACTATCGATTTAAAATAGTGTAATACACTCTTACACTTTTGACTTGAGTGTCATAATTTTAAGTCACAAAATAGTCTTGTTGTGCACGTGGTAAGCATACATCTCTATTTCTTGAGGTCTCCTAATGGGGTGGATTGTCCTTTTTTATGCTATGCTACCACCAACTTCACCAATGTGTTTTCTTTGCATGTAAATCACTAGAATGAATTGTTTTAACTGTAACTGACATAAAATTTCCCTATACCTTCGTCTAGTTAACATATTATTGAATGGTGCTATGGTCACTGCAATGAGTTTGATTTTCTTTTTCTATGGATGTGAAATTCTTCATTTGAATTCTTTCCAAATTGGAGCCCACCGCCTCCACAATCTCTAAAATTCAACTGTGATAGAGCATGTGATGCTATTCCCAAGAGAGCTGTGTGCTGGGGATTGTCCTCAGAAATGCCCATGGTGATCTAATTGAAGGGAATGAGAAAAATTTACCAACTGTTTCGAGTCTTTTCTCTGAGGGAGCTTCAGTTCAAGATGCTTTGCTTCATGGCAGCAACTTTACAGATCCATCATGTTTTGGTCGACAGTGATAATGTGGAAGTGATTAAGTTGATCTCTAGCAAAGAAACACCCCCATAGAAAATTGAAGCTTTCATCAAAGATACCCGAGCAATTTCCAAGGAGTGGGAGATAACTCTCAGATACCAGTCAAGGAAATCTATTCAGGCAGTTTACTGGGCAGTTAATGAAGTTGAGTTTCCAGTTAAAAAAAAAAAAAATTATTTCCAAATTCGCTCACATTTATGAAAAAACAAAAAAGGAATTCTCAATTTTATTTCTTTTACTACATGAGTTTAAGTGCAAGAATTTGACCATAGGATCTCTTTCAATTTTAATTCTATTGATTTCGGTTAAGTTTAAGCATCTATTATTAATTATTTTAATTTGTCGGGTGTCAAGATAGTCGGTCATAAATGTATACATCCATGAAAAAAATTTAATGTAATAATAATATCACATCAGCATTATCATGTAATATCACTATTTAATAATATAATAGTAAATAAATAAGTGGATCCCAAAAAAATTAATGAACTGTCCTCCATGTAATATAATAATTATTAATTTTATGTCTATGTAAGACAATAGCTACTCGGGTTCAAGAAATTGAGATTCGTCTTTTCACTTAATATTTTATTATTAGATATGTGATAATAATAACATGAAATTACCATTGTATTAAATATTCACTCGATGTCCCCGGCTTAATTTAGCGGCAGATGATTAAACCCCACAAAATTGATAAAATTTAAAAATAGGAGGGTCCCGATCCAATTATTGAAAGCTTCCAGAAATTGTGGGCATAGAAGCAGGGTACGATTTAATATGATCCGGATTCGACCCGCACCCCGACTATATAAAATCACAATCGCCCTTCATTTTTGTGCATTAAGAACCCTTTAGTCGGCTCTCTGTACCTCAATACGTAAGCTTCTGTAAACAGAAGAAACGAGCAGACAGAGAGAGAGAGAGAGGCGCACACAGAGTGAGGAAGAGGATGAATATAGAAGAGGTTCAGTCCACGACAAAGAAGCAGAGGATAGCTACTCATACTCACATTAAAGGTCTTGGCCTTGAAGTAAACATTATTCCCTCCTCTGCTTTAGTAATCTGTCTTTGTCTCTCTAATTTTTTTTTGAAAGAAATTACTTGATTACGGATATTTCTCACCCATAGTCTATTTTTCAGTTTGCCACTGCTAAATCATGTTTGTGTGTCGATCTCTCTCCTATTTCTGAAGTTTAGGGTTTAGAGTTTTGGTTTTTTTTTTTTTGGTTCCTTACCATATGATTATGGGTTTAGGGTTTTATGGTTTTTGTATCTGAGTATGCTTGATTGGCTTGCCAGTTAACGTAGTTTTCTTGGAACCCTTGTGAGAGATTTTAATGGTTGCTTTGCATTCTATTACATGGTCTTGTGAGTCTGTAGCAATTACTAGAGTGCTTGTCATATTCATACATAGATTAACATCTATCTATATTTACTGCCTGCAATGATCTCTTTTTGATTGATTGAAGGATATGGCTTTCTACTTTCCTCAAAAAAGGCTGCATCTTTGTGGATTTTTTGTATTAATTTTTGTTTAGGCCAATGGAAAAGCAATAGCTTTGGCTGCTGGCTTCGTGGGTCAGGCTGCAGCAAGAGAAGCCTCTGGCCTTGTAGTTGATATGATACGGCAGAAGAAGATGGCTGGACGGGCACTTCTACTTGCTGGACCTCCAGGTACAGGGAAGACAGCCCTTGCTCTTGGTATATCCCAGGAGCTTGGGAGCAAGGTAATTCTCATGTGCCTTTTCCTTCAGTTGTTTTGTTGTATATGTTATTAATACTTACTGTGGAATTGTTGTCTCACTAATTATTTTTTGATGTGACTTCATTTTGCGTTACAAAATTCTTTTTGATTAGTTCAGACCTTAGTTTTGAAAGTTTTGGGTTTAGTTTTCGTCTAAGAAAATTCAATTTTCCACTTCTAATTTGCAGGTTCCATTCTGCCCTATGGTTGGGTCAGAAGTATATTCATCAGAAGTAAAGAAAACTGAGGTTTTGATGGAAAATTTCCGTAGGGCTATTGGTCTGCGTATCAAGGAAAATAAGGAGGTTTATGAAGGGGAAGTAAGTTACTCTTCTGCCTAGCCTTTTCCTTAATCTAGTGATTTGTCTGTACCTGTTGCATTCTTCGCATGTCACTAGTGATTTCTTTTTGGTTCAGTTTCTGATTGATTGGAAGCTATTTGTGTTTTAGGTGACCGAACTCTCCCCAGAAGAAACTGAGAGTGTAACAGGTGGGTATGGTAAAAATATTAGCCATGTAATTATTGGGTTGAAAACTGTCAAGGGAACGAAGCAGCTGAAGCTAGACCCAACTATTTATGATGCATTAATTAAGGAGAAGGTAAGGGCCTCCAATGTGTTTGTTTTCTTGCATAAAAAATAAGTTTGATTTAGATCTTGTATTCTACATCATGGTGAAGCTGTTTGAAACTGTCCTGTTAATGTCTTCTAGGGTTAGACTTCAGGGTAAAGAGCTAAATCGGTTTTCACTTTCCCTGCAGTACTGCATACTTAGACTGCAAAGATAATTATGCCATTTTATTTCTAATAACTCTCACAACTTATTTGATACAAACTGCAGGTCGCTGTTGGTGACGTTATATACATCGAAGCAAATAGTGGTGCAGTAAAAAGGGTGGGTAGGAGTGATGCTTTTGCTACTGAATTTGATCTTGAGGCAGAAGAGTATGTTCCACTTCCTAAAGGAGAGGTTCACAAAAAGAAGGAGATAGTCCAGGTTTGTTTGAGTATCATACAATATGATTGCGCTGTTATTCTTTTTGCCTTTTTTTTTTGGTTTTCCTTTTGCACTTTGCAATGGTTGTTTTCCCCGGCATTGTCTTGACGTATTTGACAGTCTTTAATTAGAGTGTAACATGTTCAGTGATCCATTTATGGGTTTTGTTGGCCTCTGAGGTGCTTTGACTTTTGTATGAAACACCATCATTACTTTACATAGACCTCTGATGTAATGCGGGTACAAGTAAACATACTGTTAAGTGAGATGTGAGACTTGTATTTTTGAAAGGTTTTAGGTCTAGTATCCCAAAGAGTCCATGTTTGTGGATCATGTGGCAATCAGTTTTGAGGGCTGAAGCGTCATCCTAATTTCAGTTTTCTTGGATCAGTTTATTTTCCAACAGGTAAAATTGACTCCTGTATTACATTTGCTGAGTAGTGATTTCTGCATTGCTGAGATTCCTGATGAATCTGTGTCTGACATGTATGTAATTGCCATAATTTTTGGTGATGTTCTGAATATAGATAATGTTTTTTTGCTTATAAAATATCGTCCAGGAGCAGGAGGTGGAGATAAGGTTTTTGGAAATTTGTATGATTTCTTGCATTTATAATGTATTCTTTGTTGGCTTAACAGGATGTTACGCTACATGATCTGGATGCTGCAAATGCACGGCCTCAAGGTGGACAAGATATATTGTCCCTGATGGGTCAGATGATGAAACCCAGGAAAACAGAAATTACTGACAAGTTACGACAAGAAATAAACAAGGTACTGATTATGCTTATATGGGAATATCATTTTGTTTATTTCTCTGGACATGGATAAAACACTTGGTTGACAAATTAGATAACCACAAAACAAATTCTGTTCATTTTTGATAGACCCAATTTTTTGAGTAAATAGTTCTGCATGATTTCTTCACTAATTTCTGACAAATTCTGAAGGTTTTACAAAATCTGAACAGTGTCCCTCCTCCAATAGTCTGTATTATTCCGTGAAGCTATATTTTCCTAGTTTAGATTACGTGTACCTTTACTTGTAAAATTTATGGATTACAGGTTGTTAACCGCTATATTGATGAAGGTGTGGCAGAACTTGTTCCTGGAGTCTTATTTATTGATGAGGTTCTTCTTCTTATCTAAGTACTCATATGTTATAACGCACTGGTTGGTTTCCATGTATTTGTTGGCTTACAAATTGCCATTTGCAGGTGCACATGCTGGATATGGAATGCTTTTCATACTTGAATCGTGCTTTAGAGAGCTCGTTATCTCCAATCGTAATCTTTGCTACAAACAGAGGAATATGTACTGTCAGGTATTAAGCTCTACTTGTGGCAAAGTTAGAAAAACTAGAATAGCATGGTGAACAAATCTCTTCACTGTTCAAGATTTTTACACTTTTACAGTAGAACTTGCTTTTTCTTAGCTTATTTGAATAGAATTTTAAGGAACCTAAATGTTAAGTAACTTTATTTGGATAGAAAGTGTACTAAAAGTATTATTATTTTGGGAAATTGAGATGAGACCCACTGATATTTAGATTTGTTTTCCGGCATCGCGTAACATTTCAAAAATAACACTGAGACCCCTTTAACATTTCAATGCACTAGAAAGATGGCATCGACATAGAATGCTCAAAATGCCAATGGTATACACTGTATTTCTTGTTAGACCAAAATAATTAGGTTACCAAATTGGTTCCTCTTATAAAATTAGCCTAGTAGCAAAACTTCGTGAACATGGAATGCGACGAAAAATCAAACAAGAAAGAAAATCAAGAACAATGGACACGAGGATTTACGTGGTTCGGCAGAAATTCTACCTACATCAACAGGGGCTGTGGTTTCACTATTTGAGAATCCCAACAGGTTTACAACGTATGTATAAGCACCAATTGAAAACCTTAATCCTAGTTGATCATCTAAATTTAATTTCAGGAAAAGTGATATACCCAATCCTGGTAAACTCATATACAGATATACATTGAAAACCGCCAATATACTGGCCATTGGACTTTGGGCTTAATGAATATGAGTTACCCACTATTTCCACCTTCTTTTTCCCCTCAGCATCCTGTCAAACATGAGAAAGCCCTATTTATAAGCACTCAGATTCAGATTTAATACTAGATTCGTGCAATCGGTTACTTATTCAAGGCCAATTATTTGACGGATTTTGTTATACATGATTAACCGAGTTCACTAATGTTATTTTGCGTAGTAGTTGTGTTGGATATTGGCCTAAGTTTGACCAGATATACTAACCATTGGCCTGAACAAGTTGAATCAGCTACGGTGGGGCTTTGGCCGGTGATGGGGCAGTGGGGGAAATGATGTTGGGATTGGGGCCGACAGGGGGAATGGTGTGGGCCAGGTTGACTCAAGGGTGATTGACTCAATTTTGACCCAATTTCGATCAGAAGTACAAAATTTGACCGATGATGAATTAATTATTTCATAATAAAATTGTTTGATTGGGTCTTATGTACATTTTTGAAATGTCAGGGGTTGACCAGAGAATAAACCATACTGGAATTTTCACTGTTATTTTTATTATTTTGCAATATTAAATCCTTGAACTGAATTATATGTGGAAATGCCATATAGAATTGCATCTTGGTGGAGTCTTCTAAAGTCAGATAATGGTAAGATTATCTGCTGGAAGGTTAAAGTTTCTCTAGTTCAATATACGTCCTAAACTTGTGAAGTTGTTAGGGATATGATTCCATTGATATTGTAATCATAGATTCTTTGGTACTGTATCAGGAAAATTCCTCGTCACTTCTCACCATATAGAAGGGGTTGATTGATTCCATTAGGGAACTTGTCTAGTTTGTTGGAATATTTTTAATATTTTATGTATGCTAAACCCAGAAATTGGCTATAATTTACTTGTTTATTGGGTTCCTCCTGTATGATTCTCAGATTTCAGTATTCAAGGGAGTGATTGATTCCATTGGGGAACTTTTCATGTTTATTTGAATATTTTAAATCTTCTATGTATTCTAAACTGAGAAATTGGCTGTAATTTACCTGTTTATTGGGTTCCTTATGTATGATTCTCAGACTTCAGTATTCTCCATTGACAACTCCATATAAGAACTGAGCATTGAACTCTACGTAAAATACATATGTACATACAGAGTACACAATTTAAAATTGTGGTGCCTCATTATTGTGGTTTAGAAGTGGAAGTAATAAATAAATTAAGTAGCAATATACGCAATTATGTTGTAATTCTTATAACAGTTTTTGAACTAAACTTATTTCTGTCTCATAATTTCATACTTTCTTTTGAGAGTGTCGAAAACAGGTGATACTCTACAAGAAACCTGGAAGATTTATGTTGTTATAGTTTAGTGTCAGTGTAAGTAGTATCTATGCATCCTCCCAACCCCCAGAAGACCAATAAACGGTGTTCACATTAACTGGGACATGCATACCAGGCTTGCATAGATGTTCCACCTATATATGTTTCTCTAGTGTCTTAATGGTTGAACATGAAATTGTTACTTTGCAGAGGAACTGATATGATTAGTCCTCATGGAATACCAGTTGACTTGTTAGACCGGTTGGTGATAATACGTACAGAAACTTATGGTCCGGCTGATATGATACAGGTTTCTGCCCTATGTTACACAGATTTTTTTGCATGTGGAACCTAATTCAACTTTCCAGCACACTATCCAATACAATTGATCTTGATAAATGTGTTCTTTGATGCTGGGCCAGATATTAGCCATCCGTGCACAGGTGGAGGAACTAGTTGTAGATGAAGAAAGTCTGGCTTACCTAGGGGAGATTGGACAAACAGCATCCTTAAGGTTTGCTCTACTTGTTTGCACTTTAACTTAGATGGTGTTTATAATCTTTGTCCAAATGATGCTTAATCCATCTTTAACTGTTTTGTTAGGCATGCAGTTCATCTAATGTCACCTGCCAGCGTTGTGGCCAAAATGAATGGTCGAGACAATATTTGCAAGGTGCTTATAGACACATTGGTAAAGGTACTTGTAGATGGACTACCAAGAGAGTGTTTAATTAGTTTGTAATCTGCAGGCGGACCTTGAGGAGGCGAATACTCTTTATTTGGATGCCAAGTCTTCAGCAAAACTTCTTCAAGAGCAGCAGGACAGATACATCTCATGATGAAACTTAATCATTCAAATGCATTGTTCAACTATAACCCGTTTTAGTCAGACAAAATGCTACCAGCACGGCATTCAATTCGAAATGTGATGCTTTCACCACCAATGAGCTTTTATTCGGTATAGTTTTGCCTGCTTCTTAGTACCAGACATACCAAGCTCTGCTGCAGTTAAAATTTTTATTGTTAGGTTGAATTTAGTTGTTCATTTTGTGTCTTGCTAGCTTCTTTATGGTGGGTGGTTTCTGTAAGGGAGTGAGCAAATACTAATGGTTGAACAAATTTATGTGCAAAAGAAAGGTTCAGTGGGTGACCAGTGGAGAACCCTGTATTATTTCTTTGAATGCTTCATTTGATTTTCTACAGCATCAATCTGATGAAATGAACTTCCAGATTCAATCCTTGTATTTTGTGTTCAAGTGTATCAATGTGGGCTCCTCCTGATGCATATGCTATTGTTGGGCATTGTTGCACTGATGATTTGGATGTCTTAAACAGCACTCAGCAGAGAAAATCAGAGACATCGCTTGGAAAATTCTGCAAGCTGATTCAACAAGGTGCAAAGTGAGTTTATCCGACTCTCTCATCTTGATTAATGATGGGTTATGTCCATCTCTTAATGGTTTCAGGCAATCTGTTAAACTCGTTTTTAAATTTTAGTATTACGTGGCCTTTATTTAGCCGCTTTCAGAATGCCAAGGAATCCAATCATCCATTTTTTTCCATATTGATTTCTCTGAAGTCTTTTCGTTTCGACTATAACGTTGTTGGTATTTCTCTAGTCTTATCAATCAAGCTATTAGGTCATGTTAGAGCCTTTATTAAACTAATTTATGCTAATTGAAGGGGCATGAGAATATGCCACGTGAGAATAGTCACGTGAAGGTCATGTGAGGACTAAGGTACTGTTAACACCGAGCCGAATTGGTTTGGTCGGAGGAGCGACCGAGCAGAAAGATTCAGCCAGATTAGGATAAGGATCAAACAACATGATCACAGGCTAAATTCAGGGGATCCAACTATACCAGTTGGATCAATCTAAACAACTAACGAGCTAAGATCAAGGGAGCGGTGGAAGAAACTTAGGAGAAACCCAACAGCCAAGGCTGAATTAAAGGGAAATGTGTCGATCTCTCCAAATGGAAGAATTCACTAGGGCATATATAAACTGACAAGATTAAACAGAAAGGTACGGAGAAAGACAGTTTTTTATTTTCAATTATTAACTTAAGTATCGGAGTGTCTTTGATCAAAGTACTTCGGTCATAGACAGTTTGTTCGTTTTGCAGGGAGTCAGATTCATTAAAGATCCAAAACTATAACAAGATCTAGGTGGGAAGGTCTTTTTCTGCTTACACTAATATTAGAGATCAACTTGAAAGAAAAGGAAAAGATGATTCATGAGTGAAAGTGAAAGGCTACATGCAGCCTTGACTAAAGAACCGCAAGTGGAGTCGTGAATCGTGAGTGGCACATGTTCCACGAGGAAATAAACAATAAGGACTTGGCTGCTTCACGGCTCCTCTCGACTTAATTCGAAATGATTTCTTAATTAGTAGTAGGTCCCAATAAGTATTAGATCTGTTGTTGATTTAATTATCATGACTGATTATGTCAACAAATTAAATTTAAATACAATTAATCTATTTTAATATATTTTTTTCTATCGTGACATCTACTCTGCATCTCACTGTTGCCCCCCTATCCACAACCTCACCCCCCCCCCCGCCACATTATTGGATAATTAGTGAATAATGTACTAAATTTTTTAAAAAATATTTAAATGTGAAATAGTTACAAGAGATGGTAAAACAATTCGAAGGCGAAATAGCTAACAAAGATGATGGAAGTGGTCATATATGTCACATGGAATAGTTTAATTGGATAAGATTATTTAAATATTTATAAAAATCAGAGAATTTATTTTTTAGAGAGAGATAGGACTTTTCAAATTCTTTTTTATATTACCAATTTGAAAAAAAATTGTCTTATGACATTTAATAATTTATATATATTTTTCAGTAAGATTGATCATTATATATAGTAACTATCGTTCGTCCCGTGAAATTTACAATATCTTCTCACTATTAGCTTATCCCCTACCCTCCCTAACCTAATATAGTTGAGCAATAACCTATTAATGTTTTAAAGTAATATTTTTTAAAAATTTGAATTAGTTAAAAAAAGTGATTGAAAATTAAGTCGATTCCACTAGAGCTTATTGAGCTCTTTATTATAAATAAGTTTAAAAAATTATTCAAATTCGGTTCGTTTAAAAAATAAGCCGAGCAGAGTAAGTCAATTATTTTACATATAAACGAATCAAATTTTTTTAGGTTCGTTTTTTAAACAATTTAAAAATTTATTTAAGCTGGTCTATTTAGAATACGAGCCGAACTTGAGTAGATTCTTATTTTAACTAAGTGTTTTAGACTTATTTTTTAAATAAGTTTGAAAAATTATTGAATTTTGAATTATTTTAGAGTACAAATTAAGTTTGAGTAATATTATCTGAATTGAGTCGGAATAATTCGACTCAAAAACTTGGTGCTTATGCAATGTAATCGTTACAATAAATATTTCCTCCTTAGCATAACTGTTAATTATTTCTTCGTGATACGTGTGGCACAAACGTTAACTCTTATACGAAACCTAAATTACCGAAAATGTCCCTCGTCCTTTCAACTGACAGCAATAGGTTTGCTCTCATTATCATACCACCACGCGCCAATAAAAAATTAGCCACGTGCAGCTCGGTTGTGTTGTGTGGTTCGGCCCTGGTTTAGCTTTCTAAGAAATTTAGCGCGTGACCTTCACACACTAACGAACCCGTTCCTGCAGTCGAATATTACAACACGGCCATCAAGATTCCGGACATTTTTTTGCAATCAAGTCCTTGTGGTTTGGGATAACCCCACTCTGTGCACAACTTTTATCTTTTCTCTTCTTTCATTTATGTTTGGCCAACTTTTTTTTTTCTTTTTTTTTTTTTTTTTGGGGGAGGGGAGGGAGAGGGGGAGGAGGAAGCGGGAGAGGAGGACTTGAACCCTGAACTTTAAGAAGATAAAACTTTTATAAGATAAGGAGTACCATTAAACCAAATACTCATTGATATGTTTCACCAACTTAGTTTGATTGTACCCGACAATTTTTTTGTTCTTTTTTAAACAATAAACATGTTTAAAACTAACTTAAATAGGTAGTTTTTAATCGTTTTAGAATAAAATAAGTCAGATATGTTTGGACTTATATTTTTTTATCAACTTATATAATAATTTTTTGAACCTAAAAGGATTTATTTAGGATGATTCAAGAAGTCGATTTTATGAATTTTTCTTTCGACTTTTTAAAATTTTTTCTTGAATCTCACGTAACTTTTTAGTTTAGTATATTTATAAAATATTGTTAGTATCTTAAAAAAAATTAAAATTCATATTTTGAGTACTATAATACATAATCTATATATATATATATATATAATTAATTAATTTTTTTTACACAAAAAGCTAGAAAAATCATTTTAAATGGACTTTTCTAACTTTTTCAATCTTTTAAAGATCAACCCAAAGAATTTTTGAAGACTTTTTTAACTTCAATTTTTTTTTGCAAAAATTTTCAAACCGCAACTTTTCATCTAAAAAAAATTAACTCGAAACAAGCCCCAATTAGTGATGATAACCACACTTTTCGATATAATTAAAGTCCTTTGTGCATAGATAATTGGTAGGCCTAGAGAAAGGAATGGTCCTAATTTTTAACATAACCTCTAATTAAATCTCAACATATATTTACAGGCCCCTTTATGACATTTTAAACTTCTATTTAGTAAAAAAAAACCAACTTTTATGAAGGTGAAATTGAATAATTATGTAAGAAAATATAAGATATTTTCTTTGAGTAATCATTTTTGTTAATATGCATGATGGTTTTGAACTTTAAACACTAAATTCTAAAACGTCCCAAGACTAAACTAAAATATGCCAAAATATAGGGGCATAATCACAAATAAATAAGAACTTTCACCTCGCCATGAAAAAGATTCATATGGAGCGAAAAAGATGCTTAAGGAACACAATATGTCTTGTTCCATGTGATGTTCTACTTCCGGCAATATAAGTCATTCAATCGCGGAGTCCTCTCGAACTCCTCCCACCACCAGTCGAGCTCTCTCTCTCTCTAGACCCTTCGAGTGTATTGAATCAGTTGTGTGCCTTAGCCTCACAAAGCCCAACGTTACGAATCGACGTAAGTATAGCCACTCAAGCTTCGATTTTTAGCTCATGAATTGTTAATCCGTGAGCTATTCATCTCTGTTTTTGTGTTATCGAAGTGTATTTATTTTTGACGGATTGGTTTTAAGGCCTTTAATCTATTCTGTTTCTGTTTCTGAGCTGAATTTTGTTGTTAATTCAATGCTTTGACTAGTAATTTTTTGTAATTTCTAGTTTGATTTGGATTTTATTGGATTGGGGAATTGAAAAGACACCGTTTGGTTGGTGAGTGAATTTCCTTTGTTTGATTCCTAACTACTCAGAACATTACTGAGAGAAATGATGACTCTTACTTTATTGAATTAAAATGGAAGAAACTAAATCAGGTGGTAGTGTCTCGGAATTGTGATATACTACTATCGATGTGTTGGATTATTAAAATTTATATTTTGTTGTGCTTCAGGACTGCGAAAGTTTGAGACCTGGTGTTAGTGAATATGGCCACTGGAGCTGTGCCAGCTTCCTTTATGGGTCTGAAGAGCAGAGAACATGACTTGGGATTTGCAAAAAGTATGGGGTTTGTGAGAGTTTCTGGCTTGCAGAGGGTTAAGTTTCGTCGGACCAAGGTCTCTGTGATCAGAAATTCAAACCCCGGTTCAGAGACTGTTGAACTTCAGCCTGCATCAGAAGGAAGCCCTCTACTAGGTATAATTTCTATGCTTTCTTCTGTGCTGGTAATTATTTGGTAATTTGGTGGAAAGAACAAGTGATTTTGAGTTTTAGGCTATGGAATTTTTAGTTTCCAAAAAATAAGATCTCAAGTCAACTGAAACAAATATGTACCATAGGCTTACTTAGGGCCATTTCCCTTGCAATGCAGGATGCCAATGTTGGGTTGTAAAATGAACCAAACCGCTCAAGCCCCAATCTTGTCTGTCGGTTAGAGGTTTGTTCAAGATCAGCTCATGAGATAAACGAGCTAATGTGGGACTTTTTCTAAGCCCGTCAATTCAATGAGCTTGATACAAACTTGGATTTTTTTTTTGGGGAGTGGGAGTGGGAGTGGGAGGGAAGAGGGGGATTGAACCCTTGACCTAGAAGACAAAGCCGTTACAAAGTAAAGAGTACCATTCGACCAAAGGCTCATTGGTATACCACCTTGGATTGATAGGCTAATATACACTCTTAAGACTAGGTAAAAAAACCAAGCTACTTGAGCTCAATTCATGACAGGTTAAATTAGAAGGTCACTTGACATGACATTCTCTTGTGAGATAACAAGTCTCACTCAAGCTTTATTTTAAAGCTTGTTAAGTTTTCAAGCCAAGCTTTAGCAACCCACTCCTTTGCTTGGGTCAGCTTGTTTACACCCCTAGCTTGGAGGAGTAGACTGGATGGTCAAAGCCACACCTAATTTCTTAATAAAGTTGAAGCTTTGACATAGTCTTTCTCATTCCATGTTTCTTCCCCGTCATCAAACACCTGGACAAATATAAGTGCAAATGTTAATAAGTATCTGATAACTGGTTCTCTGCTGCAGTTCCTCGGCAAAAATATTGTGAATCTGTTAACAAAACTGTTAGGAGGAAGACCCGGACAGTGATGGTTGGCAATGTTGCTATGGGTAGTGAGCATCCTATAAGAATTCAAACAATGACCACGACAGACACAAAGGATGTTGCTGCAACAGTTGAACAGGTGTTTAATTTTCTATGTTGTACTTCAGCATCTAGGTTGTGCCTTTTCCAACATATCCAAGGCGCAGGCTGCAGCTATGTATTATACTATGCTTTAGTACTTGATCTATTTCAATAGCAAATGATGTTAAAGGTAACTTGATTGTGGATGTATATTGATATGCTATAAGTTGTTACCAATGGTTTTCTATTTTGTGTGGATGGTGGAGTATTTTTCATCCAATCAAGCTGACCATTAATGGAAGTATATTTAAGATATGATATTTCTTGTGGCTTTCCCTCTCATTAGTAATATTTAAGGCATTGCCAATCTGTTTGATCCATTTCCAGTTCCTTTTCATCCTTCTCTTCTTCTGAGGATGCCTTTTGAACTTTGTGGTGCTGTCCCACTCAGCAATGCTTTCAGTGGCATGCTGCACATGAGCAGTTTAAGCTGACTTAATAGACATAGAACAGCAGACATATTTTTTCAAAATTTTGCTTTGCCCTCACTATATCCTACTATGCTAATCTTACAATCATAGATGGCTCTGCCTTTTTGATATGTCTTTTCCTTTGAGTTGGCCCTTATTTCAGTAAGCGGACCTAGAACCACTAATTTGGAGTTTCAAAATTGCGAAATAATACTCGGATCATAATCATCACATAGGGTGAATTTTCCATTACAAATGGTGTCAAAATTGTACAGCACTAGAAGATTAAGGGAAGCTTTCTGTCATGTTTGTCATTATGCTCTTTCTGCAACTTATGTGTAGCTGATCAGGCTGATTGTGACATTTGTAGGTAATGAAAATAGCTGACCAGGGAGCAGATATTGTTCGAATAACTGTGCAAGGGAAAAAAGAAGCAGATGCATGTTTTGAAATTAAAAACTCCCTTGTTCAGAAGAAGTAGGTGTTGATATAAGCATTATTAGCACTTGTTGAATTTTTAAATCAATGTTATGTGGGAGCATTTGATCACTCACTTATTCACTATTTATGCAGCTATAACATACCTCTGGTGGCCGATATTCATTTTGCTCCTGTTGTTGCACTTAGAGTTGCTGAATGCTTTGACAAAATTCGTGTCAACCCAGGGAATTTTGGTACTTAATTCATCACTGGTTTGTTATGTTTTAAATTTCTTCTTACAACTATCTGGATCTAATGATGTGATTCCTTGCAGCTGATAGGCGTGCTCAGTTTGAGAAACTAGAATACACAGAAGATGACTATCAAAAAGAACTTGAGCATATTGAGCAGGTCAGACCACCTGATACTATAGACCACTTTTTTGATCATTGTATTACAAACTTGCATTGTTTCACTATGTTCTTAGGTTTGCTGATAGACCTCTGAAATTCTTGTTCGAAATGTAAAGCATTATAGGAGTAAGAATGTTGGAGGAAAAAGAAGAAAAACATGAATGTGAATAATAAAGAACTGAAGACAAGATGGAACAGCTGATTGCTTTGTCTCCTTGGCAATTCTCTTCGATGAAAGCCAACTTTGTTATTGTTTTTCCTTATGCTTAGGAATTAAAAATAAACGAAGAATAAGAAGAAGAAAAACTCTCTTTTCGTTGTTCTCTTAATTCTTTAAGAAGATTTATGGGAAATTTTGAATGTTCAGAAAGAAACCACAATCAAATAATAACTTTACTGTATTACAAACTATTTTGCTCATCCTTTAACCCACTTTTTTCTCTCTGCCTAGGAGAGTTTTATAAGAGTTGTCTTATAATAGAGCTTGCTGCGAGGTGCAAATGTGTCCCATGTTCCCCACTTTGTGCCTATTGCATACAAAGCCATCCCTTGTCTTTTTTCCATGTTTCCTGTGTCTTTTCCACAATGCCCATGATTCTTTTCATCAAATAAAGGCAAAAGATAGATCATCTACTCCTTCCACTAACCATCAATTCCATCCAAGTTGAAGGTAACTTACCATAAACAAAAGAAAATAGGGATGAGATATGAACTGAGGTGAGCTTCAGAAGCATAGCTGTTGCTCACCACTGTAGTCTGTGCCTGTATGCATGTGGAGCAGCCCAATAATCTCCTTTTTTTCTTAATTTTTTATTTATTGAATAGCATTGGATAGGCTCCAAGGAACTTTTATCTGATTTATAATTATTTCACTGCAAGAAGTGAAATTAATTGTCTAATCTCTACAGCGACAATAGTTTGTAACAAAAGGAATTCTTCATGTCCCAGGAGCTGTGCTATTTACACATAGTTGCTCCTGCTTTCTAATCTGCCTTGCATGTGCTCAAACATTGGCTTTTTCTAAGCATAGACCTTGCACCAATATGATGGGGTCATGTAATGCAGTATTCCCAGTGATGTGACTCTTTGGCTAATGTATCTTTGTTTTTTAGCGCTCCAGGTTTTTACTCCGTTGGTTGAGAAATGTAAGAAATATGGAAGGGCCATGCGCATAGGAACAAACCATGGGAGCCTCTCAGACCGTATAATGAGCTATTATGGGGATTCTCCAAGAGGAATGGTGAGATTTTTTTTTTTTTTGATGAAGATGATGCGTACTTCTAAGTTCTAGGCATATTTGTTCCTACATTGTCCCAAAAATTAAAGATTTCATAAACATCTTAGTTCCAAACAGGTTGAATCTGCATTTGAGTTTGCGAGAATTTGCCGGAAGTTGGACTTCCATAACTTTGTCTTTTCTATGAAAGCAAGCAACCCAGTTGTCATGGTTCAAGCGTACCGTCTACTTGTAGCTGAAATGTATGTTCAAGGATGGGATTATCCATTACACTTGGGAGTTACCGAAGCTGGTGAAGGTGAGGATGGGCGTATGAAATCTGCAATTGGCATTGGAACACTTCTTCAGGTACTTCCTTCATGCCTGATTGTACATTATTAAGATGGATGCTAATAAGAAATCTTATATTTTGGGGTGTTTTGGTAAATCAACATCCACTTAAATGGCATTCCTGTACTCTGTTATATTTTGCAATATGATGTTGTTTAAACCTAATTTAGTTCTATCAGGTTCTTGAGAGCAAATCATGTACTATTGCACATATGCCACATTTTTCTGTCATATTAAATAGGGAAAATATCAAATAAGTCCTACTTTACACTCCTAATACCCGTTAAGTCCTATACAATTTTAACAGTATCAGTAAGTTCTGCCTTTCTAAATATGATTTCAAACAAGTTCACAATCCCTTTTATTTCCTATTTTACCCCTTATAAGTTATAACTAGAAAACTTATTTTGTTTTTAACTCTAAAATATATCATATCATAATTTATTAAAAGTAAATTTCAAAATATATTTTTAACAACTTAATAATAACTTTAATTTCCATAGTATTCATAACAAATCCAATAATTTGGTGCGCTTAATAATTTGTCACCACTTTAAATCGATATCAACTTAATGATTTGTTTAAGTATTTTCTGCAGTCTTATTTGGATATTTGGTTTATAACTTATGATTTAACAAATTATTACATCGGTAAAATACAACTTGAAGTTGATTATGTACTTATTTTGGGATCATTTATGAAAAAGGAAGACTTATTGGTACTAATGAAAATTTATAGGACTTAATGGGAATTTGGTATGGAAAGTAGGACTTATTGGTTATTGTCTCTATTAAATATAGCCATGTCACGAAATATATACATCATGCTGTGGTTTGAACATAGTGGTACTCAGAAACTTTGTGAAAATTACAGGATGGTTTGGGTGATACAATCAGGGTTTCCCTTACAGAGCCTCCAGAGGAGGAGATAGACCCCTGTAGAAGGCTTGCGAACCTTGGTATGAGAGCAGCTGCACTTCAGCAAGGAGTGGTATGGTTTTACAGTATCGTTTAGTGATTAGTATGATTAAGCATTCTGAATTTTATCCTTGTTCTACTCATATAAATATGCTCTGGGTGGCATTTTTTGATCAGGCACCATTTGAAGAAAAAAACAGACGTTATTTTGATTTCCAGCGCAGAACTGGTCAATTGCCAGTGCAAAAGGAGGTGATGTTTTAGTTTTTGAGGGAATTGTATGTTGTGCTTTGTATTGCTTTATTTAGTTTCAAAAACTGATAACTTTCACTTCATGTAACAACAGGGTGAAGAGGTGGATTATAGAGGTGTCCTGCACCGTGATGGCTCTGTTTTCATGTCTATATCCCTTGATCAGTTGAAGGTCACAATTGCAATAAGATGTCCTTCTTTATTCTTATTATGTTCTTCCCATGAGATAGATCTTCTTCCTGCACATTCCCTGTCTTTTGCCAGCTTTCATGTTTTCTTTTTGTCAGACACCTGAGCTCCTTTACAAATCACTAGCTGCAAAACTTGTCGTTGGCATGCCATTCAAGGTTCATTCCTACTTGCCTTGCTATGTGAATAATAGTACAATGAATTCATTTGTCTAGGAAAAACTTTCACATTTTCATTAACAAAGTTTGTCACTGATTTAGGATCTGGCCACTGTGGACTCAGTCTTGTTGAGGGAGCTACCACCAGTTGACGATGTAGATGCTGTAAGGACCCCACTTCCCTATTTCTCCACTGCTTTAATGAATCTATTCCTGATTAGAATTTCAAAATCTGTCTTCTTGTACTCTAAACTTCCATGCCTCTTAATTACAATAAAGGTGTGGGAATGACATGATATTTTTCCTTGTACCATGATCAGCGATTAGCTCTCAAAAGGTTGGTAGATATAAGTTTGGGAGTCATAACTCCTTTGTCGGAGCAGTTGACAAAGCCATTACCCAATGCCATGGTCCTGGTAACCCTCAAGGAACTAGCAACTGGTGCTTACAAGCTTTTACCAGAAGGTGTGGCGTTTGTTACAGTTCTGTGAGCACTCTGAAATGGTCATACTCCATTCCTATGGGTAAATGCTATTGTTCATACTATGTCAATTATATATTTTCAGGCACACGCTTGGCTGTATCTGTACGTGGTGACGAACCATACGAAGAGCTTGAAATCCTAAAGAGTATTGATGCTACAATGCTCCTTCATGATCTTCCGTACACTGAAGACAAAATTGGCAGAGTACAGGCAGCTAGGAGGTATTAAATGTACCTAACTCTTGAACATTGTGTAGGCAAGGCAATCTCTAGTTAAAGTTGAGCATTTTCTCAGCTCTTGTTGAGGCAGTGCATGAAAGGACTACATATTACATGCGCACTTGCGCATGCACACTTGCACACAAATACACACACATCCATATAGGAAAGTCAAAATCAATTCACACCTGATAAGAGTTGCAACTATTTCACTTCTCAAAAACTTTTTGTGGGAGTTGTGCTGTGAGGGCTGCCATTGGATTAGGTTGAAGTTAGAATTCTAAATTAGATGGAATCTACTCTCACTCTCTGATCAAATGGAAATATGGCATTAATGACAAATCCTGGAATGAATTTGTTCTTGCAATGGCTGACCTTAACAAAGAATGATTTCCACGAACAATTGGTCGAGGGTGTAAAAGGTGTAGTTTGCCTTTGATCTCAGCATAGCACCTGGAGCTATGACCTGCTACAGCAGTTGCTTAGTGGTATGCAAGCTAATTGGCCTCCCTTCGGGCCCTTGACTATCAACAGTTATTTTCCCTTTTTAGTTATTGTCGCTGACAACAACAGTTTATCCTGTTTCTGATAGCTCGAATGTCTTATTGGCTGCAGGCTATTTGAGTATCTTTCAGACAATGCGCTGGACTTTCCTGTAATTCACCACATACAGTTCCCCAAAGACATTCACAGGTAACTGCAGATCGATGACAATTTCACTAAGATCTGAGTGAGACTAGTTTTGATTCACCCTTGGTCTGCTGCATATTTGCAGGGATGATTTAGTCATTGGTGCCGGTACGAATGCAGGGGCACTTTTAGTAGATGGACTAGGAGATGGTATCCTATTGGAAGCCCCAGACCAGGATTTTGATTTTCTTAGGAATACATCCTTCAATTTGCTACAAGGTTGCAGAATGCGAAATACAAAGACGGTAGGGAATTATGGTTTTGGAAACAGAAATTAAGTGGATTTCCAAGTTAGGTTGTTGGTTTATTAGGGAGTATGCCCAATTCTTATTGCAGGAATATGTCTCTTGCCCATCCTGCGGTAGGACTTTGTTTGACCTTCAAGAGATTAGTGCAGAAATAAGAGAGAAGACCTCACATTTGCCGGGTGTTTCAGTAATTACTAGATCCTTTTGCACTTGTGATTGGATGGCATTGATAAAGTTCTGCTTATGTATATGTATGCGTAAATGTCACTCATTTCTTCCTTTTCCTATGGCAGATCGCAATTATGGGTTGCATAGTGAATGGACCTGGGGAAATGGCCGATGCAGATTTTGGGTATGTTGGAGGTACCCCGGGAAAGATTGACCTTTATGTTGGGAAGGTACAGTTCGTTTATTCTTCTTTAACGTGATATGGGATTCAATTAGTATAGTTAAGAAATTATACAGCTTTAGACAAGGATAGAAAAGGGAAGGCACAGTGACACATATGCACAAATAGACCAGCGTAACTCTTAAAATCTCTATTCACCAATTATCAGTCTTTCCTCCAGTGCATAGTTGTCTAATTTTAACTTCACTTGGTGAAATGTGCATCAACCTCAACCTCAACCTCAATATTCTTAGTCGTATCATGATAAACTAGGTCTTAACGTAGCACAAGTAGCGCTTCCAAATGCACTCACTATGTATCCCAAGATCGTAATAGAGTGGAAATGAATAATTCTTCAAGCACTCGATTGATTGCTTTTGTTACCAAAAAGATTGTAAGTAATTTTAATCTTTCAAATGGTTCGTTTGCGTCTCATTTGTATATTTCATGGCACCCATGATGATTAAAATGATGTATTGATAAAGTTAAATCTTAAATCGTTGCAGACGGTGGTAAAACGAGGAATTGCGATGGAGCATGCAACTGATGCCTTAATCCAGCTAATAAAAGACCATGGCCGCTGGGTGGAACCTCCTGCAGAAGAGTAGGATGATGCAGTATGGGAATAAAAGAAGGGTTAAAATGGAGAGCATTGTACACCACTGTTGTGTGTGAGGGATCTCCAGATCTGTGTTATGTTAAAAGTCTAAACAGCAGTCCAGTAAAGTAATTTTTCAGGCTGATGCATGTAAGTGGCAAGGTATGCGTTATATGTTGTGCAATTAGTATACATCTAACACCTATAATTGTCTTATATTAGTTTACTAAGTAAATATGCAGTCAAATAAGCTTTTAAATCGAATTAATTTTTCTTCTACCTTTTTTTTATTAAATTACTGTAGTTTCAAACTTATTTATAAAACAACCGTTATTTTTACGAAGCTGTGCTTCTGAAACACGACTTCACAACAATAGTGTGTTTTAGCAATACAATTAGGATTAAGTCGGTGTATCAAAAACTCAATTTCATAAAAATAACGGTAGTTTGATAATAAATTTAGAAATTATTTAAAAAAGTAAAAAAAAAATTGTAAATCGATAAGAAATTCAGTTAAATTGGGTTTTTTTTTTTTGGGGGGGGGGGGGGGTGGGGGTTGTCATGATGCACAATTGTAATACATTTCATGTTTCCATTTGATCCCTGGCAGCAGCCCAATTCCTCCATTATTTTTGCAGTTCGTCATTTCTGGCAGGGGACTTTCTGTGTCATTGGTTCGTCAGATGAATTGATTAATAGAAAGGGATTTGATTTCGGTACCAAGAAAAACGCACGTATTATACCTTAAAAATTAACTTATTTTAAAAGGTATTTTTAAGGAGCTAATAAGATTATTCATTCCAAACCAATACATTCTTGAAGGAGCTAATAATTTGGGATACAAAATTGATTGAAAAATAGAAATTTTGGATAAAAAAACAACTTTAATTTTTTCAAAAACAAGGTGGGCGGGGGGGTGTTCCAAGTATTCTTTTGGTAGGTGAAGAGACAGATCCAGAGGCAAATTGCTTTGAAATTGAGCAAAAGAGGTCTATGCAATAGCAGCTCTGAAGTTGACCAATATTTAACGGGATGCACATTTAATGTAGCCCCACCAGCAGGCCACTGATGAATCCAAACGGTCGTACACAAGCCAAGAGGTAGGAATCAACGGATTTAAAATTTATCAAGGAACCTTCATAATTCAAGTAATGAACAGACTAATCGATCCATTGACCCAGAAACGGACTTGGATCCTTCCTCCAACCCGACCCAAGGCCCATATCCAAGTCCCTGGCCTGACCCTCGGGGATAATAGTAGTTGAGAATAGAAAATACTAAAAAATATTAAGAAAAGATAAATTCTACACCGGTAGAATTAGACATTTTATGGTAATAGGGATAAATTTTTATTATTACATATTAAATATTGAAATGAGCATACGTATTAGTCATGTTATTCTTCGTTTGTTTGGCACTAGGAAGAGAAAAGAAAGATCTTAGGCTAGACACAAGGCCCTCTGGACCAACTAAGAGATCGGATTTCACTTCACGAACAAGTTCAAATAGCCCTGATCAAGCGGAGGAAATGCTTTATGTTAGCAAGACTCCGTTATTATTGGACAGATTTAGTTTTATTCACTTTATGCCCGCTAATCAATGCTATAAGATTAGGCCCAAGACATAAAAGAATAGAAAAAAAAAAAACCAAAATGCATGATTTTTTTTTATAAATATATAATATTTAGACCCTTTTTAAATTTAAAATATTATACTTAGACAAAAAATACTCCAATTAAAGATGAAATATTAAATATTTCAAATTTTACAACTAAAATTCATGTTCTATTGTATCATTTATTGAAATAAAATTTACTTATAAAAAAATTCTTCATTTAATTATTTAATGTGTATCTAACTAGAAATTATATGTATTTTTTTCATTATGTACATTTAATTATTAAATCTTCCATTACATATACAAAAGCAAACTTAATAAGTTAAATTCTAATTATATTATGTGGTAAATACTAAAAATTATATAATTAAAGAGAGTGGTGGGTAAAATAATTAATTTACAAAAACACCCATACTACCTCCATTTTCCGCTCATTTTTGGGGGAAAAATGTGTAGTGGGCTCAAGGGAAAACATTTTTCTTCCATTTTTCATTCCCTCCTATTTTCCCTCCATACCAAACAATGGAAAGATTTTCCTACCCTCCCACTTTCCTTCCTCCATTTTTCAGCCTCCCTATTTTCCCTCCAACCAAACAGGGGGTTAAGCTCTGTGCCCCTTTCTCTTTCTCCTCTTTCGCCGTCACTGTGCCTCTTTGGCCACACCGGCTCTGCAAAAATTCCCACCCATCACGACCTCTCTCTTTCTTTGTTGTTACTCCTCAATTAACGAAGCATTTGATCAATGTTGACAGTTAAAACCTTCAAATCCCTTATCTCCTATGATTTTCGTCTTCCTTAAAAGTTCAATTCCCATCTTTTCTTCATCTTTCATTCAGTACTTTCATGCATATATGGAATTGGGTGCCTATGCTTCCAGAATAGATTGCTCATCTCTCACTTCTTTGTCTCTCAATCCTTCTTTCTGTGATTTTTAGTTTAAATGCAATTTTGATTCAATTCCATTTTTCTATTTCGGTTTCAATTTTTATTATGAATTTCTGATTTCAATTTTGATTTTCAATTTCAATTTTGGTTTCTGGTAAAGAAAATTGAATTGAGGTCTTGGGATAGAAAATTCAAATGGTGTTGAGATTGTGTTTTTGGAGGTGGCATACGGTGGTTAGGGGTGATTAGGGGTTGTGTTTTTTGGGTGACTGTCGTGGTGAACAGTGAATGCCGGGGTTTATAGTGACTAGGCTGCGGGAGATGGTGGGATTGTGGAAATGGTTGGGCTGCCTGGGGCTATTTTTATGTTTTAATTAAAAATAAAGGGGAATTAAGGTCATTGTACCATCACAGTTAACAGAGTTAACGGTGCATTTGAGTCCTAGGAGGGTTATGTGCTAAGATCTCAGGGAGGGGTTATATGCAATTGAGGTAAAACCAAGAGGAGGTAAAATACCTAATAATAAACTGAAGGCAACACATTTAAAAACAGAAATGAGAGTTGGGCAATCACCCTTGGTCACGCTTGACCCAACACTTCTCAAGGACCACAATAGTCTCTCAGCCTAATGCCAGCTCACCAGTACAAGGACACCACTCTTTCAACGGCAACAAAACACCACGCACACCTAACAGCATAGTTAGATGTTAGGGTTGGGTTGGGTGGGTGGTTTGTAGCCTAATCTTCACAGTAAGACACATCTAACATCAATTCACTAATATTCTCATTTACGCTTGGGGATCCAGATCCCCAGCGTTGCTCAAAGATCCCTAGCGTTGCTCAAAAAGCAAGCCATATCAATAAATCTTATTTTTCTCCTAAAAGAAGATCAAACAATAAAACAAATCTAGATGTGTCACATTCTCATAACAATAATAAGAAGTTTTTGTTATCTAATGCAAGATAATATGTCTGACCCCTTGCTTTATACCACAAAAATTCTAATAACATTCTCGATCTAAAATGTGATCGCAGGTGGGAGGCCTCAGGCCCTTATGTCCTAGTACTCAGCTTCGCACCAAAAATTGGACCAAATGGAGTGTCAGTATGCGAAGAGAGGTTTCTCTTGTAATGAGCCACAAGAAAAAAGTTGAGTGGCGAGGCAATGGTACCAAACGTTAGAGAGAGAAGTGAGTTAGTCCGGATGAGAGTCCAAGCAAGTCATATCACCCTTCCCCCTAACCACCACAAAAATGCACGTTCACTAACTTGGTTATCTAGTACAGAAGAAAGAACCATAGGAAGTATCAAAGATAGATATGAATTGTCAACCCAACCCAGATTAAGCATATAATGCCCTTCTTGGTCTGGGTTAAAGTTCTAAAGCTGCCAATCACTTAAAGCTCCAAAGCCCTAGATCTATTTCTACCTAGATACATATGGCTTGCTTTACCACCATTTGAGAGTCAACCCTCTTTTTCTGGGTGAGGAGAGTGAGAAAGAAATTCATTTTCTAATTCAATAGCTCAAACATAAGTTACCTTCACCCTTTAAAACACAGTTAAGGGTTGAATCAGGGGTTGTTCAACTATTAATTCAACTAAAACTAATTCCAAATCCATGAAATCTAAAGTTCAAACCCCAAAAATATTGTCAAACTTTATTTTTCCATTTTTTTTGTTCTCCAACCGAAAAAAAATAATTAAACATACTCAAACATAGCCAATGAAAATGAATGTTTGATCGATCTCTGACTGAAAATTATTGTTACTCTTAGCAGTAAAGAATGAAACAAATCAGCACCACCAAACTCTCAATGTTACGAATCTATATGTGATGACATTAATAGATTGATATGTATAATATAGAATGAATGTATCTAGAGAATCTCTCTCCTGGCGGCGTACCCGTACTGAGATCGCTGGATATTCTGCTGCCGCTTCCTGTAGAGTATACATCCCAACCCAACCATACACGCAGCGGCGAGGACTCCGATCACTATCCCAGCCTTCTGTCCACCACTCAATCCACCATGCGACTTCTCAGATCCGTCAGCATTTGCGTTCACATCATTCCGACCGATGTCACCCGCAACTTCCGGAACCGATGATGGAGCCGGAGGAGGAGTTTTCTCAGACGGAGAATTGGCTGGAGAATGAGCCGGAGTGAGACCTGACGGCGGAGGCGCAGGAGGAGAACTGACAGCTGGAGAAGGAGAATGAGAAGGAGAGGCGTCTGGAGGCAGAGAGTGCGATCCGGCACCGAGTTGCGGGGGAGGTGTGGGTGAGAATTCTGGTGGATCTGCGCATAGAGTGTGTTGGACTAAAAGGAGTGCGAAGAGAATGGTGAGTGAGAGTTGCAGCAGTTTCGCCATTGTTAACGGGCTTGGTTCTTGGGGATCTGCAAAGTAATCAAATCGACACAGATCTGGAGAATAATGGAACGATTAGAACAGTGGAATTCAATTCAAGTCTGGAGAAGACAACGGTGGTTGAAAAAGATGGGGGGAAGTAAAAGGCGGTTCGGTTGAAAAGGACAGTGTGTGTGTGTGAGAGAGAGAGAGAGAGAGAGAGAGAGAGAGAGAGAGATGATGGGGGAATGAAGAGTCCGATCACGACTAGAGTCACAATAAGTGGCGTGATCTGAGGATAGACTGAGAAAGTGGTGATGTGGTGGAGAGGCGAGAGAAACGGTTGGGACTCAATTTTCTATTTCTACATGGGCGTGTTTGGGGCGAGGATTTGGATTCATTTTATTAGATCCAAACAAATCTAATCCCCATCTTTGTTTACATGAAATTTATACATGAATTCTATCTACATATATGTTTGATAAGTGCAGGAGTGTAATTTAGGGATTAATTTGAGCTTAACTTTAGATATAAAATCTTCAATTTAAATCTTAATTCGATCTCAACCCGAGATATTCGGGACAAATTCTAGTTGAAATCAAGTTATTCAATTCAGGTTAGGTTTAATTTGGGTCGACAATTTTGGCTCAACAAACTTAGTAAGGTGTAAGGGTGAGCTTTCTTTATACAAATGAAAGGTTATTTGAGTTGTTTATTTGATGTGAGATGACAACTCTTTAATTTTTATTTTTTTTTGACATTTTTTATTTATTTCACATCAATATTCTAAATTTCTTTCACCATCTATAATTCTTATAAATCATGTTTCACTCCTCTTTAAAATTAGGGGTGTTAATTTGTGTCGTGTCATGTGAATTGCTTGTTCGTATTTTCAGTCGTGTTCGTGTCAAGATCTACAAAAAAAAATATCTATTTAGTTTGGTTTAAGTGTCAAACATTAATCTAAACTATTTATTATGCGTATTTAATAATCGTATCGTGTAGGGTTTGTTTCGATGGGTTAGTATTGACACTCCTAGTTTAAATAATAATAATTACAAAATATGTATTTATATTTTATATATTGTTATATTATTTATATAAATATAATACAAGAATTTAGGTTGAACTCAAGTTGGGTTAGATTGAGTTTGATTTCATCAATTTGGGTTGGGTTGAATTTGGGTTAAAACCGTGAACTCGAGCTCTTAACACGAGTCTTGCTTGAATTCCATTGGGTTGACGCTTTTTAACCCTAACTCTAAAATTTCAATCATAAGACTATTTTTTTAAGTTAAGTTCGGGTTAAATTCGAGTTGGTCAGTCCAAGTTGCATCATTAGGTATATATATATATATATATATATGTGAGACCCACAAAATTTACCACCATACATTTGAACGATAAATGATTATATTATCCATTGACTAATCAAATCCATTATCATGTTTGTTTAATTGTACGGAGGAGTTATTAAGGGATTGAGATGTAATTTGGTAGATAAAATATTTTATTAAAGATAAAAAAGTCATTTGATGCTGTTAACCTAAGCTACTATGAAACTCACCCACCTTATGTACCTGAATTTAATACATTGGATCAATTACGAGCCAAGATATGAATCATAACTTTAAAAGTGCTATCCAGGAGTAACTGTCACCCCCAAATTATTTACCGTCACTGATTACTAATAAAGAAATAAGAGAAATTATTATTGATTATAAAATTTGATAAAATTCATTTTATAAGTGTTAGAAGTATTTTTAGTCTCTAAAATATGTCCGTTTTGTTAGTTTGGTTTCTAGAATATCAATTTAATCTCAAAAATTTTGATTCGTGTTTTCCTAATCAAACAGTTCGTTAAATCTTTTGACAAAAGTAATTACGTGTCATTATTATATAAGGTATCACGTGTCTCATTCTGTCAAAAACTTAACGTTCCGTCGATATAAAGACTATTTAAACATAGAATATTTTAGGGACAAATTAATATTTTTAAGACCAAACTGACAAAACGAAATAAGAGTAGCATCTTATGTTGGCAATTATGTAACGATTGTTGCTCACTCTTCGTTGAATACTTTAGAGATCAAAAGTACTATTAATCCTTAATTTTATATGTTTATACAAAATTAGTTAATAACATTTCGTAATAGTAATGACTTAGCATCACCGTCTCGTACGATAAAAATAATTTGTAATATCATTTTATCATCACTACTACCCATACTCTTGGTTCATCTTAACATTACTAAAAGAATTACTTGCTATTGTGCTTCATTGATATTTTAAAAAAAAATTAAATGTAAAGTGGTTATTAAAGATGATGATGAATTTAAATGTGTAATAGCCACCAGTCAATTAAATAATTCAAAATTATGAGAAAATAAAATTTAGAGAGTATATAATATAGTATAGATTCTTATAAAATTTATATTTTAAATGATGTAATGTAATTTTGATCATTAGATAAATAAATTTTATTAATATTAAATAATAAAGATTATGGCACGTCATTTAACGAGCTTAAAACGCGGCTCCATCCTCCATGACTATTCATGTTAGACTGTTGGATTATCTATGCGTTAAGTGTGGGGCTAGGTTGGATTATGACCCTAATTAAGTATCAAGTTAACTTGATTAAAAATGATAAAAAATAAAAGACAAGGAAATTTGGCGGATACGTTACGGGAGACTTTTAAGGGTTAAAGTCTAAGCAAGGTACTTTTAGGCCATTAAGGACACACGCGCCTAACTAATCAGCACTTAAGTACAAACGAAAATTTTGATCCTTTTAAGGCTAATAAAGACCATTTAAATTTTAATTTGCACCCTCAAAATTTAAAAATATTAATTTATATCTTGAAAGACATAAATTTGTATTAATGTGCACCTCAAACTAACTCTATTTATTTTGCCTTTAAAAACTTTTGGGCTAATTATAAATTGTATCTTGCAAAGTTTAACTTTTATATTTATGATCCAAAAACAATTTTATTCATTAATGCTAATTAAATAGCTCTTAATTGTATCGTATCATAATATCTTCGTGTTGTGTTCGAGTTAATAAAAATTTCAAAAAAATTATAAAATGTCTATAATATTCGTTAAATAGCTATTTTTTGTCAACAGTTAGACACAAATCTTTTGATTGTCCTACCAAATTAAAGTTAAATACGAATAACACAACTGTAGACAGAAAATAGTTATTTAAGGGCAAAAATATGTATTTTTAATTTTTAAAAAATATTAAATAGCATTATATGAATTGTCTTAAATGTGAAATATATGACACAATGCAATTGACTCAACACAAAAATATTTTATGTTAAAAATATTTTTTATTGACTCAAACACGACGTGAAAATGTTATAATACAATACAATTGAGAGCTCTATAACGAGCATTAATGAATAAAATTATTTTTAAATCATAAATGTGAAACTTTGAAAAATATAATTTATAATTAATCCAAATTATTTTAACAACAAAATAGACGGGACGGAGTGCAATTTGAGATTAGCCACATTAGCCCATTTTTTTTCCTACTACATTACCTCTAGAGATTCTCACTGCTAAAAACAAGTTGCTGCTGTTATTGTTGCCAATCATGTAGAGTGGGAAACATAACTCCAGCCATCAATCTCTCTTTCTTTCTCTCTCTGTGATTTAGCCATTTGGAGCAAAGGAAATACAATTATCGGAAAAGGTAAAGGTCCCGCGATCGGAATAGATCGCGTAACTGTTGTAGATAATATGGTGGTTTACAATTTCAGAAGTAAAAAATTAATAAATGAAAATAAAGAAGATACATTTTAATATTAAATTTTATATATAAAAAGTGATGTGTGAAAAGTGGTCAGGTGTTGTTACAGAGGACAACCGATAGCAAAAGAGTTAGAAATTGATGAGATTTTAAAATTGACTTTATTGATTGTAATTTTTATTATTGAAAAAATATTTTTAACTATAAAAATTCAATTATGTAATCAAATGAGTGATAATATGATGACTAATATTACAACAACGTTATCATACAACGCTTTAAAATAATAAAAATCCATTGAGATAATATAATGATAGAAATCAAGCTTATTGATTGGCTGGGGCATATATAATGGGAAAAAGATTATGAGCATTTTAGTCCATTTAGATAACAAACGGTAATTTTGGCATTTTCACAAAATATTTAGTTAAATCATTACATTATCTACTGATAGAGAGAAAAGTTACCGTTAAAGGGATGTCATTGATTTGAAAGTATAACCAAAAGAGTATGCAGTGAAATTTTAGAATCGGGATGTGGTGTTATTGAATTTAGACTTAATTACAGGAGATGTAAATAAAAATTTTCTTATATATAATGGAGAAAGAGTTGAGGGTATTTTACTCTATTTACATAACAAAGAATAATTTTGATATTTTCAAAAAATATATAATCAAATCATTACTTTATATATTTGGCAGAGTCATAAATTATGGATAAGAGAGTGTCTTTGATTTGAAAGTATAAACAAGAAGAGGGTGTAGTGAAGTTTCAGAATTGGGTTGTTGTGATGTTGAATTTAGACATAACTAGAGAAGGTGTAGATGAAAGTTTTTCTAAATTTTTTTTGATTTGACTTGTATTTTTATAAAACCTTTTTGTAGGGCTTAAATTATTTATGAATTTAATTTTTTATATGGAGTATGTATGGTATCTAACAATTTAGAGTCTTCTTTTATGTATGAGGCCTAAAACACAAGGTTTTTTTGATAATACTCTTGAGCCGCCCCTGCCTTTACTTTTTGTTTGTGGCCTTGTATCGCCCTATGTAACCAAAAGGCCAGGGGATGAGTTTGTTTTAATCATACTGGAAAGAGTTGGGGTAAAGCAAAATTGGTTGACATTTATGGCATACAAAGAAACTGCATTGATACAACTGAAAACCCAAAGCACAAAAGAGGAGAAAGAAGAGAAAAAAGAGAAGGCCTGGATGACGAGACTCAGCTTATCAAGCCACTGACCCTATCAAGCGTCAGGTTGAACAGAATCAGTTCGACTCATATTGGCTCGGCGTGTTATCACGACATAGTAAACACCCATTGCCAGAAGCACGGCAAATACAAAACCAAACAAAATGCCAGCAATGCCACCAGCTCCCATCCGGCTCTCTCCGGCATTCGGTTTTGATCTGCTTTCATGTGCCGGACTTGACTGCACTGTAGCTGCTAGAGGCAATGGTGAGCAATTTGATGCACCACATGGGTTTTCAGAGCTTGGCTGTTGAGTGTTGGGATGGAAGAAATCAAATGCTGATGGTGAGAAAGCCACAGGGTTCTCGTATGCGATCCCGTGGGGTGCTCGATCCTGAGCTCTAGTAAGGGAGAGCATGGAAAGAATCCAAAAGAACAGGAGAGAAGCCATGACTGGCGTCCTCTTTGCTTTAGTGATACCAAGGTCAGGGAGCAGTACGGCTTTTGAATGTGGATATATTTTCAGGGTTTGTACTGGCTTTTATAGGCTCTTGAGAATGTGAAGTGGTGGTTGCTTAGGCATGAAGTCTGTGATGGCAAATGCTGTTTGAAATGAGGGAAGAAAACAATGAATATGAGTTCTTAGCCTTGATAAAGTTTTCAACATAATCTCAATATTAAGATGCACTCGAAATTATGGGATCTCGATCATCGCCATTGCACTTTCATTCAATTTCAGTTAATGTTGGATCATGTACCATTGATACACATGAGAGCAACCATGTATCAATGGGCTCTTCGCATTAATAATCCACCATTGAATAAAATTGAGGAAAAGTGTAATACAACGAATCTCCACCCGAAATTATGTTTTGCAAGCAGTGTGATGTCAAATTACTCTAAATAAAATACATGAACTTATGCACATTCTATGCCTGTATCTATCGAGAATAATTTTACATTGACTTAAAAACTAAATTTTATAATCACAATCATTGAATTAGAAATAGGTCTTAATAAATACTAGAACCTACAGTGAAATTAATGGTTGTAATTATCAAATTTAAATTTTAAATTCATATAACTTTGTTCTTCTATCAATTCCATGGCATGATTAAAGAACCACCGGTATTAATTTGATCTAATCTCCTGCCAAAGTGACAATAATTAAGGCCAAGAGACCGAAATAAATCAAGTGAATGCATACATAACTGGTATTTACAGCCATAGATCTAAGGAGAGTTTGGATGGTCTCGTAAGATTTGAGAAGTCCCACATTTTACATAAAATATGTGAAGTGATCCTTTGAATTGCAACGAATTGCCCTCTAAACTTACTTTATATATATATATATATATTTTTAACAACCCTTTGAAGACTTATCGAAAGATTTCGCTTCTACAAAACTAAATTTTGAATCCGTCTCTAATGTTTTTATAATACACTCATTATGATGATTATTTGTTACGTTTATCCTAGTACTAAAATAAATAGAAAGGAAGTTTTTTTTTTTTTTTTTGTGAGGGGGGGGGGGGGGTGGGTGGGTGGGTTGGGTTTGCTTAGCTTAAAGGAGCAGCAAACAGTAGAAACACACACCATATGATGTGTGTAATTATACTTGCTAATCTTTGTCGCCATCCTTTAAGACTTTATTGCAATGGCGACAAGCGCATGGTAAAGCTGAAATTGATGCCCTCCTCCCACCATGCTTTCTTTCTTATCCTTCTTCCAGAAAAGATAGTGACCTCTCTCTCTCTCTCTCACGCGCACACACACACACACACATTTGCCAATTTCAATAGGCCTTCAGTGGGTCACAAGATTTAGCTGCACCATTTCTTAGTCACAAGAATTGTCAATATATGATAAGAGAAAAGGACAAAAAAAATGATACCATGGGTGGAATCTGGAGAGTGTAACCCGTCTGGCTAATCTACGAGAACGTAAGCCTAGGCAAACAGCCCATGTGTTAGCCTAGTGGCCCATGGGATGGCCCGCAAGGAACCTGGTTGGTCAATGGACAGGGTCATAGAATGTAATGTTCGGCCTATTGCTGGATCAAGGCCCGTTGTGCAACTGCAGCCTGGATAATCCACCCGAAATATCTTCTTTCTTTTTGGTAAGAAACGAAAATTGTAGCTGTTGATCCTTGAGCAGCGGTATCCAACGGCTAAGATTTTTTGACTGATGGGAAGGCTGTGATTCTTTGAGCGGGTTCACCCTGCTCGACCCAAACCAGTCATATTGGCATTTGCCCATGGGCCTGGGCTTGCAACCTAATTACTAGACTTGTCCCTGGATTGGATCCAGGCCGGATTTGAGTCCATCCGAATCTGAATCCAATTAAAATATCTGTTATCTAATTCGATCAGTTTATCCGACAAATATAAAAATATTAATTCATATTTGAATCTATTTTGATAGTCAAAATCTGATCCGATTACCTGACCCAATCTGTAATGATATTCCATTAAAATTCAATAAATAATCTTTCTTTTAGATCAAATATAAATAATTAATATACATCAATATATATTATGTATATTGTAAGGGATAAAAAAAAAGGGTAAATTATATTCAGACCCCCTGAACTTTGTCACTAAAACACATAGACCCCCTCAAATATAATATATTACACTGACATCCCTTAAAGTTTCAAAGTTTGTTCTTGTGTAACACAAAGATCCTACTGTTAAGACTCGTTTAAAACACCTTCAAAATTTGATGATGTCACCCTATTTTAAACTTTTAATTCCTAAAATACCCTATATAGCATTAATTAGTAATAATCCATATGCCCTTCTCTTTGTTTATCTTTCTCACATCCAGGCATTACAAACTATTATGCCCAACACACACACATAGATCAATTGCAATGACACAACCATACCAAACCCCAAAATCACAACTTAACTGTGTGCGGGTTTGAGTGTGTGAGAAGATCACGAAAGAGAGGAGGCGTATGAGAGGAAGAATATGGGAAAGGGTGGGTTTTCATCGGGTGTTGGCAGCGAGTTAGGGTTGGGGTAGACACTTGGGGGTGTTGGGGTGGGTGGATAGGGGGATGGTGGGTTGAATCACTAGTGGTGTTAATAGCGTGGTCGAAGGCAAGTGGGTGGGCATGGTGGTCAGTCGGAGTTGGGACAAGCCACCGCGTGGGTTTCATTTGGTGTTGGGAACGAGGTAAGGTTGGGGTAGGCACTTGGGGGTGTTGGGGTGAGGAGATGGTGGGTTGTGTCACTGGTGGTGTGGTCAGAGGCAGATAGGTGGGCATGGTGGTGAGCCAGAGTTGGGATAGTGGTTTTGAGGAAGATGAAGTGGTGGGATTATTTATGGATTTGAGGTTGTTTGGATATGGATTGTGATAATTCCATAGTTGGAATAAGTTGTCCAAAGTTAAGTTTATTTGAGTTATTGGTAAGGGTTAATTAGTCTTTTCAGTTTTTCTGTTTGCGCCGTTGCAAACAATTGTTGTGAAGGGGTGTTAGTGTAAATTATTATGTCTAAGGGGGTTTGGGTGTATTAGTGACAAACCTTAGGAGTTTGAATATAATTTACCCAAAAAAGAGATGAGTTACCTCTCAATGGAATTGGACTGGATATTTCTAGTAAAGTTTGTTTTTGAACTGAATCTCCAAATCTTCTTTTCCTGTAAAACGAATAAATTGTCCAAGATCGAAGTGTTTCGATCGAAGGCACTCCGATGCTTAAGTTAGTAGTGGAACAAAACGTACTTTTCACATTGACATCTTTTTTTTTTTATAGATCATTATCTCATTAGAGTTTCTGTGATTTTTGATTCAAGGTGGCATATCTTCTTTCGATATAGCGATTCAGTTTGGGAATTGCTGATATTTCTCCAACAACTCCTCCTCTCAAATCTATAATTTCGTTGTTTTGCTCATTCAGAATGCCTAAGTTAAATGCTTATATTTCTCTTTTCATCTATTGTTTCAAACAACTTGGATAAAATGAGAGCCGAGCATATTTGATGCATGCGAGACTTGTCGATTAATTCAGTTTGGCATAAACCGTGCTCTTTCATTGTCTTGTCGAACACATTGGTCAGTTCGGCTAGGTCCATTTGACTGTATAACGGACGTCTTTGTCACGTACCTTAACTCATCATCCTTACGTGAGCTCATTAATTGTCATAATATGTGTAATAACGAGGCCCAACCCCTTCATATATCTATACGAATAAGATATAAACAATTTCAAAAATTTTCAAATAAAATCAACCTTCCCAATTTTAAAAAAATAAAATAAATAAGAACGGCTAAAATTAAATTAAAATTTAAATACAAGGTTTAAATCTCATCTGAATTCATTTAATTAAATTCAATTACTCACAATTTATCCCACCTAAATACATCCTACGCCCATTATACCTACACACACGCCGCTCAATTTTTTTTTTATCAGATATGCCACCCAATTCAAACGTGTCTCTTTCTCTCTTTCTCGATCGCTTGCTCCTCTGCCATGGAAGACGCCAGGTACCCCTCCCTCCCCCCTCTTTCTCTCTCTCTCTCTCCTCTTCCAGGAACGAGCCCAGGTACTATCCTCTGCGGGCGCGCGCGCACATACACACACAATCATACATACACATCACCACACACACACACAAAGGCAGTCGCTTACACACACACACAGCATAGTTGCATTCACATACACACAACAAGTACACATATTTTAAAGCCATTTTTTGGATGTTAATTTGGGTGTTCAAATTAGTGGTTAATTTTCAAATTGGGGTTTCTATGACATCATGTTTATTACATTTCAAAATGGGGTTTATTCATCGGATTTTAGGGTTTTGATTGAATATTATATGTTATGATTTTTAAATTGAATGTTTGGTTTATTTTTGATTGTGGTTTTAATTTCAATTTTTGGATGTTTGGGTTTTGTTTATTAATTTGGAATGTTATGGTTTTTTTTTTTTTGCAAATTGGGTGTTAATTTTATAACATAGGGTTTTGGTGTGTAATATTTGTGAAATTGGAAGTTGGGGTCTTAAAGTTGAATGTTAGGGTATTTTGATTGAAATATGGTTTTTAGTTTTTTGATTGAATGAATTATTTTGATTGAGATTTGGTGTTACTTTTATACTTTAATGAAATAGGGTTTTCTTAGTCTTATGAAATAGAATGTTGTGTTGATGTTTATTGAGAGTCAAATTGAATGTTATTGTTATTTTGATTATAATTATAAGTTGGGTTTGCGATTGTTCCGTGTTTAGTAGGATTGAAATAGGATTGTTTCGTGTTTACTTAGTTGAGCTAATCACATCTCTCTTTCTTGCTGCCAGTCCACTACCAACATCAACCAGTCCACCAACAACCCTCTAGCACCCCAACAACACCGACAACCTCTAGCATCCTCTGAGGTATTTCTTTCTCTCTCTCTCTCTCCAAACCCTTTCCGATCTCTCAGCCCCAAACCCTCT